TCAACCAGAACCTCTTGGGATTGGGACAAGAAGGAGAGCTGGGCTTTTGGCAGTCCTGTATATCAGCACAAGGCTTCTTATCCAGGTCCAATTGCAGGCTTCCACGAAGCTCGCCTTGCTCACAGTCCCTGCCTTCCTGGTTCCCCTCAGTGAAGGCTGCTCTTCTGCTGGAGCTCTAGCCCTGCTGTGCCAGAGGCAGGAACTGGCTCTTTCTTTTTTGGTTCCCAGGAAGCTCTGGTGGATGGCCCAATTATTTTCAGGCAGGGTCCTCTTCAAAGGGCCTGACAGAGCAGAAAACTCTCCCCACGGCTTCTGCTGGGAGTCACAGCCCCTGCTGATTTAGTGATGGAGCAAGTGAGAGCCCTGGTTCCCAGAGGAAACTGCTGGACAGATCTAATACGGGAAGCTGGCCTGGTTTGTGCTGATTTTGTGATGTTGGCCTTTTGGGACTGCTTGGAGGGATGCAAAGAAATCTAGGTGTTGCCTGCATACCCCAGGTGGGCAGGGCTGAGTGCAGAGGCTGTCTGTCGGGAGGAGGGGGGAAGTCCTGGCCCTTGGCTGTGTCCATCTATGTGAGGTGCCCCTGGGGGGTTGCTGGGGTTGCTAAGGTTCCACCCCTCACATCTTCCTGGGCAATTGTGATGGCTAACATTACATTTAAGGTTTTAATTACTATGCTTAAGATAATACGAAGCAAAAATGCCTCTAACACATAAGCCTCTAGCTTGTACAGGCTATACCCTGAAGTCCCCTGCCCTTTTTTCCCAGACGTTCAAGACGATTCTTATATTACAGATCTTGTAAAATTTGCTGTTCTTGTAAGACAGTAGGTCACAAGACTAACTGCTATGTCTGCTTTTGTAATCAAACTTGCTTACTCTGCTAAAAAAGACGACTAGAACAACTGTAAGACATATATGTTGAAATAAGACCCTGCTGACGCAAAGGCAGAATACATGTAGGCATGTGGGTTTTGCCTTTATAAGCCTTGAGCTGACTGGGCTGAGCCCAGACACTTGGGAGCCCTTTCAGGTGCAGTTCTGGCCCCACGTCGGATGCCAGTACCTAAATAAAAAGCCTTTTATTAAAATGTATTCATGGTCATGGTGAATCTCTGAGTGACCCCAGACCCATCACAGCAGCTCTGTGACTCCCTGGACTTCATACTACCCTGGATCAGTGGTTCTCAACCTGTGGGTCACAACCCCCAAAGACCATCAGAAAACACAGAGATTTACATTACCACTCATAACAGCAGCAAATTTATAGTTATGAAGTAGCAATGAAAATAATTTTATGGTTAGGGGGTCACCTCAGCATGAGGAACTCTCAGCGTCAGGAAGGTTGAGAAACCACTGCCCTAAATCTATTTGAGCACAAGTCTGGTAGTGTTTACTTAACTAAAGTCAACAACCTTTGCAAGTCAGGCTCAAAGAAATCTCCCCCAGAAGGGGCCCAGGAAGGCAGAGGGCGTGGCCTCTTCGGCTCCCCTCCCTTGCTACAGGAGAATGTTCATTTCTTTGGCACAGCATTTAGGTCTGTCACACACAGGCTCCCAGGACTTCTCCAGTCCCTTTCTGGACACAGTAAACATGTTCCTGACATGTTATGAACATGCATGGCTGTGGGCCTTTGATTCCTGTCATAACTAGCTTTTGTCAACTTGACACTGTCACACACACACACACACACACACACACACACACACACACACACACACCTCACCTTAAAGGGAACAGGAGATTATTTATCCTGGAGCCAAATTTGAGTGACCATGGCCCTGGAAGGTAGATTTAGGTCCTTCACAATTCCATGTTCTAATGTGGAAGGAGTTTCACAAAGTTTTATAGTTTTGTGAAGAAAGTCATAAATCAAGGCAAGTTTAAAAGACATTGGTGGGTCCATCAGAGAGGTGCTTACAGTGAGATGAGGGACGCTTTTCTGTGGGCTTTTGTGGTGATATCGTGTTCTCCAATATATTTTGCACCCTAATAAACTTATATGGGGTCAGAGAACAGAACAGCCACTAGATACAGAGGCCAGAAAATGGTGGTACACACACCTTTAATCCTTAGCATTCCGAAGGCAGAGATCCATCCGGATCTCTGTGAGTTCAAAGCCACACTGGAAACAGCCAGGCATGGTGACTCATGCCTTTAATCCCAGGAAGTGATGGCAAGAAGCAGAAAGGTATATAAGTGTTGTTGGAGGGCTTCTCTCCAGGTTCCACCAAGCCCCGCAGTCCCACAATCCATGTATAAAATAATCACTCAGACACTTATAATACTTATAAACTGTATGGCCATGGCAGGCTTCTTGCTAACTGTTCTTATATCTTAAATTAACCCATTTCTATAAATCTATACCTTGTCACGTCGCTTGTGGCTTACCGGCGTCTTTACATGTTGCTTGTCCTGGCGGTGGCTGGCAGTGTCTCCCCCTCCTTCTTCCTGTTTCCCCAATTCTTCTCTCTCCTTGTCCCACCTATACTTCCTGCCTGGTCACTGGCCATCAGTGTTTTATTTATATAGAGCGATATCCACAGCATATAAGGTGTGAAAACCAGGAACTAGAGCTGTTTAAGCTTTTAGGCTTTTGAGCAGCAGTTCAACTGAGATCCATTCAGATGAGGACTCAGAGGCTTCCAGTCTGAGGAAAGAGGATCAGCTGAGAAACTGGTGAGGTGAGGTGGCTGTGGCTTGTTCTGCTTCTCTGATCTTCCAGCTTTAACTCCAATACCTGGCTCCAGGTTTGATTTTATTAATAAGACCTTCTAACAATTCATGCTACAGGCTTTCAGACAGTATCTGATGACATTTTTAGCTTTGGGGTTGGTGGAAACTAGTGGTCTGCTAAGTTAATAAATTCAAAAAGGTTTTTTATCTATTAGTCACAGGATGTTAGTTCGGACACAGAGGTGGGCAGGGAATGATTATTCAGATAAAGTAATTAACCTCTAGACCTGCAACATTCCAACCTTAGACCTCCAACATTTCAACCTCTTCAGGTCACTGCTGTTCTAATCAGTCAGTGGGTCTTGTAGACCGGGTTCTTGACAGCGCAAACCTGGACCTAGTTGAGAAGAGGAAATCTCAGCTGATAAATGGCCTCCAGCAGACTGGCCTATGGGCCTGACTATGGAGGCATTTTCTTGACTGTTTGCTGACGTGGAAGGGCCCAGCACACAGTGGGCAGTGCCACCCCTGGGCAGGGGGTCCTGGGCTGTATAACAAAGGTGGCTGAGCAAGCCAGAGGGTGCAAGCCAGGAGACAGCATTCCTCCACGGCCTCTGCTTCAGTTCCTGTCTTGGTTTCCCTCCAGGGTGGACTACAACCTGTAAGCCAAACTGCTCCTCCCTCTCCTGCTGCCTTTTTAACTCTCCACTTGGAATCACCCCATCCCACCAACAAAGCTAACTGTCCCCACTTCCCGCTGAGGTCTCAGCTCAGGTGTTTCCCTCTCAGGGAGACCCTCCTTGTCCCCACAGCCCCAAGACAACCCCTATTATGTCACACAACCCTGTGTGACTTTCTTTCTAGCACCATCCTTCCATGGATGTCATTGGCTGCATTGATGACCAGCTTCTCTTCCAGCCTCCCAGCCCAGCACACTGGCTCCTGGGGACAGAGACCTGCCCATCTCCAGCTGCATAGTCAGGTCCTACACACAACACATAGTAGGGCATGGCATTGTCAGGTCCTGTACACAGCACATAGTAGGGCATGGTGAGCCTTGCTGGAGTGAATGAGGATGAAGCTGGAGCTCTCCCTGGAATGTGCAAGAGCCGTTTGCTGCCCCCAAGGCACAATACCCTCCTCTAGGCTTTTCCTCTATCACATTTTCTGGCTCCTTCCTGAGCTCCTAATCACAGCCACATTTTAGGAATTGAGAAGAGTGTTAAGACCAGAGAACATTCTCTTTCTCTCTCTCTCTCTCTCTCTCTCTCTCTCTCTCTCTCTCTCTCTCTCTCTCTCTCTCTCTCTTCTGTTTTAATGGGCCAAACATGGATTTGCAGTGCAGTAGCCTGTGAGGACCTTGTCTTGGGGGTGAACTGGCAGTAAACATCCAAAGGGTAGAAATAATGAGGGCTATTTTAGGATTCTGCTTTTCCTCTTCACTCCTAAAAAAGAAAAGAAATCCAGGCATGATGGAGTGCACTTGTAATTCCAGAGCAGGGATCTCTGGGGCTCTGTGGCCAATAACCAAGGCAGCTTAGAGAGCTCCAGCAAGTGAGAGACCCTGTCTTCAAACAAACGAACAAACGAACAAGAAGGAAACAGAGAGAAGGCGGGACCACGGGGACGACACCACCCCAAGCCGTTCCCTGGCTCCACCTATATCACACACAGGTCCACACACACTGCATGCACACGAACACATACACACATCTGCAAATCCTCTTGGTAACTTCGGTACGTTTGTCATGGTGCAATGACCCTCTTTGTCTCTGATGGTGCCTGCACTGAAGTCCCTCATCTGTCAGGAGCCCAAACACTTTCTTATTTGTGTGGCTCTGTATCTGTATATCCATTTCTTTTAACCTATCTCCATCTTTAGACTTGCAGTGGGTTTCCTACCAGCAATATTCCGTTGCTGGGTCTTGCTGCTTGGCCTGGGGTGACAATCTCTGCCTTTTGACTGGACACTGTTGCCTTTCAGGGGCCGTTTTCTGTTCCTTCCATCTGTTCCTTCTCCTCCTTTCGTATGATTGTGGCAGTTTCTATGACTGCATTTTATCCCCCCTTAGGCTCTGCAGCTCTGGCTTTTTGTTTTGTTATTTTGGTCTTTGCCTGAGGGTGTGTAGTAAACATTTTTTAACTTCTCGCAGTTCGCTTTCAAGTGATATTCCAACACTCCTGTCTGGTATAGAACCCTGACAGCATCTATTGCCATCTTTGAGCTAAAGTTTCCCTGAGTTTACTTGCACATAATGAATACCAGACAATTACCTTTAAAAAGGGTTTAAATCATAAGAATGTCATTGGTATTTACCCACACACCTCTCACTTCCAGAGCTGTTGATCACTAGACGTCTATGTCCGTTGTTGCCATCTGGTACCGTCATTTGCCTCCCAACTGCTGTGATTTGAATTCTAAGTGTCTCCGCAGCTCAGGTGTTTGAACACTTGCTCCCAGATGGTGGCGCTGTGCTGGGAGGTTGTGGGACCTTCACGGGCTGGGACTGGAAGAAGTCAGTGGGTAGAGAGTGGGCCTTAAGCTTTACACCCCAGCTTGCTTTCCCTTCCCTCTCTGCTGAGATCTGAGCAAGCAGCAACCTCCTATTCCCATCAACATGAAGCTGCCTGACGGCATGGCCCTGTGGCCACACCTTCCCCCACCTGCAAATTGTGAGCTAAATAAACCTTTCTTCCCGTTTAAGTTGTCCCTTGTCGGGCGTTAGGTCACATGATGAGCAGAGTAACTGCCTGATACTTCACCTTTAACACCCACAGATTTTTCTGGCTGTTTCCCTCGAACCCTGTGTGGGGTGTGTTCAGCTCCAGGCCCCAGCAGCCACCAGCAGCCTTCTGTGTTGACCTCTCATCTCCAGGGCTCCGTTGTGAGAACACAAGCCACCTGGATCCCCGCATTCTGACTCAGCCTCTGCTAAGGAGGACAAGCAGCTTCTACCTGGGTCATCATCTGCCCCTTCCCCTCCCGCCCCCTCCTACTACCCACACCTGTAGCCCTTGTCCAGACTGCAAACTGGGAAAACACAGGCCTAACCCCCTCCCCTAGGGAATCCTTGTACTCGGTTGCTTGGTGCCTGGTGATGCGCAGTCATTTTATATACCCTGTCCGTTTCCTCCGTTGCTTTAGGCAGGCAGTTACGTGTGCGGCCCTGCTGTCCCACCTTAACTGGAAGCAGAGCTCCTGACAGCACACAGGGATGGCTACTCGTCGCAGGCCCTGCCGAAGTCTTTCCTTGTGTTATTATTGTATCCTCGCAGCAGCCTGTGATGTAGGGACAATTATTGTCTTCCAGTTTACAGGGGAAGAAACTGAGGGGCCTGAAGGGGACTGTTTCTCCATTTCACTGGCAGAATGGCTGCCTGGCCAGACCCTTCTGTGGCCTGCCCTCTCCCTCTTGACCCTGGTGCCCCAAATGTTTCATGCATAGGCCCCACTTACATGGTTGGTTATTCTTTCCAGTAATAAGTAGGCTTCCCCCAGAGCATGACCAAATATTTTCCTCTCTGTCATGACTAAATGGGAACCAGGAGCTGTGTCTGGAACACGGTGGGTGCTCAGGAAACGCTGGCCTCTGGTCATCTGTGTCACATTGTGCGGCTGATGGTGACATATGAAGACTTTGGAGTTCTGATGCATCTTGGCTAAGCCGGATCCCAGGAATATACGGGTACAGGTATGACCTCTGGTTCTGATATACACTGCTGTCAGGCCATCCTAGGGGTCTCAGGGAATTCCTGCTCCAGCTCACTCAGGCCTCTCCAGATGTGACCTTCCATACCATCCAGCATTCTGTAATAGTAGACTCTCCTCTTGGGTTCTAATTGTCCCTAATAGCCAGGATCCACTTGGTTTTAAGATGCTCATGAATCACACACAGGGCTCCAGGGAGACCATAATTCCACATGCACAAAAGGCAAGAACCATATTGTTAGGCTGTTTCTCTAAATACCTGGAGGCCTTTGGGTAGCGACTTCATTTAAATGGAGCATCAAAGAAATTAGAGATGACACTGGTGTCTACAACAGGCTGTTTGGCTTTAGCGGGAGTTAGTCAACACGGGGCTGACTCCTGTTACAGGATGTATTCACCTGCTCAGAGCCTGGATGAGATCCTTTGCCTCTTCTTACACAGAACATGGGGTCCACAGACGAGGCCCTTAGAAAAGGGGTTGGCAGCTGTCAGCGGTCCAACCGGGGAGGAGGTGAGTGATGTAGGGACGGGATGGGGACTGTTATATCATCTTTATGGTCAAGCTGTCACACTTCACAGGTGGAGAAAGGAAGGCTGAGTGAGAGAAACAATCCAGCGAAGACAACAGGCTAGCCAGTGAGGACCGACAACAGGTTTCACTACGGCAACCTACTGGGGCCACGGTGCCTGGCTCTTCTCATCCCTGATCTGATATGGGATGGTCGACACTCATGTCAACTCGATGGGATTTGGAGTCACCTAGGAGACAACCCCCTGGGCATGTCTATGAGGGAATTGAGGTGGGAAGATTCATCCTTACTGTGGGCCACACTGTTTCATGGGCTGGAGTCCTGGAGAAGGGTAAAACCGGAGAAAACGAGCTGAGCGCTAGTGATGATCTCTCTGGGCTTCCTGACTGTGGATGTCATGTGATCAGCCGCTTCACAGTCCTGTCACCATGATGACAACGGTCACTTCCCTGCCGTGGTGGGCTTGTGTCCTTGAATTATGGGCCAAAACAAACCCTTCCTTCCTTCATATATGGGCAGGAGGGATGTAAGAACCACAAGGACACACTAGGGCACCCCTGGAAGAAGGATGCTGACCTTGAGCCAAGAACAGACTTACAGGGTGCAAATAAGCACCCCCAGAACGTGGTTCTTGCTCTCCAACCCATCAGTACCAGGGAAGACCAGAATCCTAAAGTAGCTTCATCGTTTCTACCCTTTGGAAAAATGGATGTTTGCTACTGCCTTACCCCCGAAGCTGTGGTCCTCATCTATTGTGCAAGTCCATGTTTGGTCCACCCAGCCTCCTCACCCCTACCTCCCTTCCCCCACACAAAATGTCTGGTCTTAACACTCTCCTCCAAACCCTAAAATGTGGCTGTTATCAGGAGCTCATGGAGGAGTTAGAGAATGTCACAGGGAACGGCCTGCAGGATGGTGATTGTCCCTTGGGTTCCTGCGCATTGCAGAAGGAGAGGCTGCGATTCTGGAAACACCTCCCTCATGCTCATTCGCTCTGGTAAGGCTCACCAAGCCCTACTGTGTGCTATGTGCAGGGCCTGGCAGCATGCCCGAGTCAGGCATGTCTCAGCCTCCAGGAGACAGTGTGTTCTGGTGACTGAACTCAGGTCCTCATGCTTACAAGCAGGCTCCTTAGCAACTGAGCCATCTCCTGAGTTCTCAAGATCAAACAATGACATTAGATGTCCATGAGCCAGGTAACAGAGATCTAAAACTGATAGGACATCAAATAAATAAATCACAATTGGATGGAGATAGCAGCACTGTTCTTCTGGTAGCCAAGGGAACAGGGAGAAAGTGGGTGAGGGTATAGATAATTAAGAACATCTTCAACACACAACCCAACTCACACTTGTAGCAATGGCAGAAGATGCGTTCCTTCCTGAGAACACTGGCTGTGAAGAGAGACAGGTGATGCTGGAGGGGAGGGAATAAAAAAAAAAACCTCAAAATGTATTCTCTAACAAGGTATATTCTCTAAGTACAACATTGAGTTAGTGATCCATAACTTGAAAGTATCTAGAAAACAGTGATTTAGAAAAACCAGTAACTGATTTTTAAGACCATCCATGGTATGGAAGAAAGTCAGAGAAATGACAGAATTTCTTGAGCCAAATAAAAACTGAAATATGACAGAAACAGTTGCCAGCTGTGAGTGGGAGGTGAGGAGGAGCCCTTCACTGGGTACAGGGTGATTTGGCTGCTGAGAGTTCAAGGCTGGAGTCAACCCAGGTGTTGATGCAGACAGACTGTGGTGTATCCATGGAGGGACTAAGACCCATGAAGAAGAAAGAACAAACCACTAGTATTTGCCACAATTCAGAGAAATCTCAAAATAATTCTGCTGGGTGAACCAAGCCAAACAAAAAGATTACATGTGTTACAGTTCCATTTATACACAATTTGAGAAAATGCCACCCATCTGTAGTGATAAAGAGCAGATTGTGGGCTGGGAGATAGCTTGATTGGTAAAAGGCTTTGTCACATAAACATGATGACCTGAGCTCACATCCTCAATACCCACTTAGAAGCCAGGTGTGGTGGCACACACACACCTGTAATCCCAGCTCTGGGGAGGGGAGATGGCCAGGTCCCTGGAGTGCACTGATTGGCCAGGCCCACTGAGAAACCCTGCTGCAAAAAGAGTGGAGAGCAACTGAGAAAACACCCTACACTGACACCACACAGGCACACATACGTATACACCTTTCCAAACACACACACACACACACACACACACACACGCACGCACGCACGCACGCACGCACGCACGCACGCACACACACACACCTGGGGATGGAGTAGGCAAGCATCATCCATTGGAGGTCAGGATCATTAAAGGGTACAAGAAAAACTTGGGGTGCTGAATATTCATCTTGATTTTAGTGAGGGCTTTGTACATGCATCCATATGTCATTTTATCGGGCTTTACCTTTAAATACGCTTGGTTCATTGGATGACAAGTTCATTGGATAACAGCCCCAGTGGGGCTGTTAAAAATAAGTCTTGGATATTTTTAATATTTGTGTCTTAGGCCCAGTGCTAAGGATTGTTCTACTTTTCTATTTTTAAATAAAATATGAGGTAATTCCATTATTACCTTCAGTTGGTGAATAAGGACATTTATGCAGAGTATAAGAAGCGTTGTTGATCAATAGACACTATTGCTAGAATCCTATCCCAACTCCAAATTCAGTGCTTCCAGTACCCGAGAAGCACATCTGCATCTTATCCGGGTGACCTTATATGACTCAGGTCCCAGTGACATTTGCACTGACGAGATTTCCTGGAGAAGCCTGGAGGAGGTGACGATAGGAACTCGGGGTTCCTGGGAGCCGGGTGTCGCTTCTGAATGGGAGAAAAGCAGGCAGCTGCTGTCCTCACACCCTTTGTCACTTAGTCATCCATGGTCATCAAGAGGGAGGGGGTTGATTGGTAGGGTCATGCAGGGTCACAGAAGCAGAACATGTGAACTGGAGCTCATTCCCACGTCTGCCCTGGCAAAGTCTAGGTCCTTCCCTCCCCTTCTCACATCTCCCCTCGCCTCTGTCACCCCATCTGTACCCAGAGTCTTCTGGGCGATGCTGAGCTTCTCTGTTTCCAGGATTCTGACATCAGGGAGGGGCCTATGAAGGACTAGGAGGCTGACAAGAGGGACAGGTAGACCAGTGCTTGAAAAGATTCGAGGAAACTGAAGAGCCCTCCCCAACCCTGGGTGTGGCTCAGCGCTGTCAGAGGCTTTGACTTTGAACACATTCCCTACTGTTTTCCAGGTCTCAGGTTCTTCACCTATAAAATGGGATTAATCATGCCAGCCTCAGCTGGTCCTCAAGAGACTCAGAGCAGAGTGCAACCAATGCCCCAGGGGTAGACTCCCTCTGCAGAGCACTTTGGATGTCCCAAGCTTTCTCTACCTCCTATGCCTGAGGATGGAGATCTCTACCTGAGATTCCTCTAAGGAAGACAGAAGGAAGCTTGTTTACCCAGTGGTGGCGCTGGCAGCCCAGGCAGATGCTCCTGAAGCCACAGCCTCGCAGCAGAGGAAAGCCCCAGCTCAGTTCAGAAAGGCCCCACAGCCAGGATCTCCTCCCCAGAGCCCAGGTGGGGGCAGATCTGGGGCCCACTTTCCCTGATTGGGAGCCCCTGTTCTGCCTCCCTGATAACTGTTCAGACAGAGCCCGGAAAGGCCCCAATTAGGGGTGTCAGGAGGCCCAGAATATAAGGAGGGGAATTCCCATCACCCCAGAAGGACAGAGGTAGGCTGTCCCTCTCTTTGCAGTGTCAGGCTGCTCAGGGATGACATTTTTCAGGCCCCTGGCATCTGAGTGCCTCTAGAGTAGAGACCTGGCCAGTGACATGTGGTTGGCAAGGGAGGGGACTCTTGGGGTCACCTCTCCTGGGCTCCCAGGTCTTCCCAGGACGCAGTGCAGCCGACAGCATTATAGATGAAGGAGGCTGGGTCCCTGCACCATACCCGGGAAAGACCACCTCGGGGGAGATGTCCCAACCAGAGGCACCATCTTGGGCTTTTTCTAGGAGGGAAACTGAGGCTTTAGTCGCTGCAACTTAGGACGGTTTGTTAGAGTACCTCCTAACCCAATAGGCACAGCCAAATGCCACTCCTCCTCCCCATCTATCCGTGCTCGGCTTACCTCTCTCTGGACACACCCAGAGGTGTGTTTCCTAGGTGACCGGTCAAAGTGACAATGAAAGTGAACCATCAGAACAGGACTGAGGAAATCACCAGGCAAAAACAGTACATGAATAACATGGGCACGTGTGAGAAGTGAGAGGGTGATACAATGGCCCAGGGGTGGCTCCAGCTGGGCTGCCCCCACCCAGGCAGCTCAACTCTGCCCTGGGTTTATGGATCTGAGTACAGGCGATCGGAGAGGTATGGGCAATCGCCTGGAACGGGAAGCTGAACAGACTGCTCACTGCTGTCAAGCCTTCGCTGTGATTGTAGCATTTCAAACCTACCCCTAGAACATCAGCATCTCCCCAGGCCAGCATATTGACTCCTGCCCCTGACTGCTGCCATCAGGCTGCGTCTAGCTGGGTGTGATGTAGCGCGTGAGAGATCCTCTAGCCAGAAGCCCTCAGATCCACTGGGGTGCCTGGCTATCTGTGCCTGATTAAGCAGCATCCCACAGGTCGCCATGTGAGCATCTTTAATGTTAGATCCTTTCCGATGTCCTCATTTCCACAGCCTGCTAATGGCCGATTTTCTTCTGTGCCTCAGGTTTTGATCCATGTCTCTGAGGCAGGATCCCTGGGTCCCGGCCTGGTTGCTTTCTTTCGTCCACCCACAGCCAACACGGCCAAGGCCAAAAAGGTTTCCATGAGGCTGTCTTTCCGAGGAGGGAGGCAGGGGACAGAGGCAAAAATGTTTCTCTACCTGCCTCCCAGAGCCTAGCACTCACAGGATTGTGATTGTGTGTGTGTGTGTGTGTGTGTGTGTGTGTGTGTGTGTGTGTGTAAGTGGGGGACAGCAACTAATGTCATGCTGTAGGGCCCCTCTTTGTCAAGGCGCTTGTTTCTCAGGGCCAAACAGGCCTCATCTGGCATTCTGTCGTCCTACAGGCAGATACTCCTTCAAATTCTGACCTTAGAGGCATCAGAAAACGTTTGCCACAGTGAGGCAGGTGAGGGGGAGGGAGGCTGGGAGATAAAGGAATTGCTGACTCGTCAGCATCTGGAAACTGAGCTGCGGGGTTCCACCCACGCGGGCATCTGGCTCCCAAAATAGCCCTGGTTTCCTAGGCCAGCACCCACCCAGAGCCCTTGCAGCTGATGATGCGCAGTTTCCTGCTGGAGTGGAGCAGACTCGTTTCCATAACCACATGCGGCACCGGCAGCGCGGTGATCTCCCCAGTTGTGGGCACAGTGGGGGGGGGGTCTTTTTTTCTAGAGCTGCTTGGTTCACATGTGTGTAGAGGATTCACAGGCCTCAGACCCACAGTTCTTTGTTGATGAGGCATTGTGTAGGGTTAAGAGTGTGGCCGGCAGGGCTGATTGGCAGGTGGAATGTCTATGACCTCATTATAGCTAATGAAATGATCATAGGCGGGGGCACACAGGATGGCCATCGGGCCAGTGTGTATCCCACTCCCCTTCCAGGAGACATATACCCAGTGATGTCTGCAGAGTGCCAGGCGGTCTGGGCATCTTAGGACCCGCCTGAGTGACACATTCAACCATCCGTCTCCTGACAGAATGAGAAGCACCAGAAGACTCCTGCTGTATCTGAATACTTAACAGAGTGCCCAGCATGCCCAGCAGAGGGTCTGACCATCCAGTGCATGGCAGAGTGGCTGACGGCATTGTGGACCATTTAGTGCACATTCATTCTCTGCTGAGATGAATGTCTTCCTGCTCCTGGGCCAGCTGTGGCGCTGGCCCAGACTCTGGCTGGGAAGTAGTAGAGCCTAGACTTCAGTCCTGCCCCTTCCCCCAGGCTCATCCACTCTCTGTGGACATGGTCACATGCTCGCACTTAGCGCCGAGCGTGAACGAAGCCCCAGTCCAGCCTCCCAGTTATGGAGTGGAGAAAGTGAAGGCAGAAGGGACACGGCCCACAGTGGATACAGTTCCTGCCTCTGTCCTGGTAGGTGGGCTGCAATGTAAGCATTCAAGCGGCTCAAGCTAAGTGAGGACCTTAACCAGAAGACAGCATTTATGCAGCGTAGGGTCCCTTTGGGCTCTGGCCACCTGGATCAGGGGACCACACCTGTTTCCTGTCCACCTTGCGGCCTGACCTATCTGAGAGTGGGACATTCAGAGCTATTATTCCCAGGCTGTTACTGAGGTAGGGTGCACATGGGGACTTGGCAGGCTACCCCATCCATGTGACCCTGAGTAAGCTCACTTTGCCCAGGCCTTGTGTCCTCAGGGTTGAACTGGGAATGATGGACCCTGCTTGCTGAAGGGAGGGATGTCATGAGAGCTGGTGAGGATGCCTGGGGTTAGAGCTGGTGAGGACACTTGGTTAGACCCAGCACACAGTAGCCACGGTGGTAGCAGAGCTGTATACAGCAGGTGCTCATAGAATAACAACTGCGCTGTGACCTCTGGCCTGGTGGTTGTTGGGTGAGTGGGTGGTGTGTGTTGCCTAAGGATCTGCCTCCCCCTCCTGACTCTGATTGCAAGCAGCACAGCAGCCATTTTTTTGTGTGCCCAGAACTGTACATGGTTGGCACTCTGTGGTGACACTTGTCAAGTCCCTAGAGACCGACATGCCTGAGAGCAAGGGAATGGTCACTGTCCAGCAGCCACCTGGCTTCGGGCCTCTCTGGAGCAGAGTGTCTGCTTACACTGCACCTGCTTCAGCAGGACAGAAGTTTCTTGGTAGCAGAGGGAGTTATTTAAAGTCCCCATTAAAACAGCTGGATCGTGATGGAAATAGAGCAGCTGCCACAGCAGGGACCCCAGAGAAGCCGGAGAAGGACAGGGACACGTGTGGAGGATCTATTCCAGGCTTCGCAGGAAAACCTGCCTTCTGGTCACAATCTAGATATGAATACACCGTGGCGACACAAAGGGTCAGCCTCGCACCCATGGCAGGCATCTGTCAACACTGAACTGACCAGAGACCAGAGGAGGAGTCCTTGCTTCTTCCTCCACCAACCTCATTTTTAAGCATTTGCCAACAACCGGGCTGCAAGTGGCCATTCTGAGGGGGAGGGGGAGTGTCTCCAGCAGCACCCAACAGGCCTCAGGGGTGTCCTTGGGACTCATCACTACAGCCAACTAGACAGATACTGTATACTGGGCTTGAGTTCGGGCATCACAAAGTACTGAGGAAGCAGGCACAAAGTAGGACCACATGCACTTACCTGTCCACTCTCCATCTTTTCCATTTCTGACTCTGTTCACAGTTGGCTGATGTGCTTTAACTAGTGTCTCCTCCCAAACACAGGGTGTCACCTGCGGGGCCTTGCATCCTGCATTTCCAAATA